AGATTGTTTATAGTATCTTGTATCAATTTATGCATAGTATCTATGCTATAGTACTATCTCAATCTATAGTTAAATATTTGGCATCATTTTTTGAATCAATCCCTCTTTTGATAAATTGACTCTACTTTAGTAAATGCTTTATAATAGGCAGTAGATTTATACTTAAAAAGAGTGCGGCTAGATATTCTCAATACTGTAAATATGTATATTCATAACATAATGTTAAAATAACTTTGAAATATGATTTAGTAGTTATTTAAAAAAATATTTTAATAAATTTTTCGTAAACATAAAAGGTATTTTATTATTTTAAAAATACTTAAACCAATTTACTTCGATTTAATGATTTATATTTCTTATTCATAGTTACTAAGACCAGTGCTTTGTTTATAAATGTATCTATAGATATGTTTATATGAGATTTGTTTTTAGTTTCTTTATTTTATTTTTATGGATTTGAGCAGAATAATTCGAAATGAAAGGATTACGTTAATATCAATAAATATAAAATGTTTTCGCAGGATAACTACATTTATTACTATTCCACACTCCACTACAATATGAATATAATTTAATATGTATAGCTGTCAATGAAATAAAATATGTGAGTCCTTGTTGGTCATCTGTTGTTGCATTTCAGTTCGTACAGATTTTAACTATAAATCGATGCAGAGAGTCCTTTTTGAAAGCACATAACTTTAAAATTTAAAAATAAGTTAGTGAATGTTCGTATACTCTGATAACTACATTTCGTTATATAAAGATAAGTTACTACTATACTACTGACTGTCACATACATAATGCATACATATGCATAAGTTAGAAAATTCATTTTGTCAACGTCCAACTTTTTGCTTGTTTTGAGCATAAAATTTTTGCTCCATTTAATTGTATTGAATTTCGCATTTTTCATGCTGTCGTTTTTAGTTTATTTGTTCTTTTCGTATTACAGACATAGCCAACAGTTGAATTTCCTGGAGATATAGAGTTACGAGAACTTGGATGTATGCTATGCAAACGCCTACATCGGATTCCACTTTAAGCAAAACGGTCCATGTAAGCTATTTTGGTATTTTTGTATCTATGCATCTACGTTAAATTTCTATTTCTGTATCTATGTTACTCTATCTCTATCTGTAGCTTTGTGTGTTTGTGTATTTGCTTGTTTGTATGTTTGTATTTGTATATTTGTTTATTTGGTATTTGCATGAATTCTTATTTGTGTGTTAAACATGTATGAGTTTATTACAAGGAAATGCAAAACTTTTTTACATGAACTTTTATTATATACACTATTTCTTATATCCGATATTTTGAGTAGAACAACTTTAACAGCAACGACAATAACTTAAACTATAACAGCAACTAGCAACTACAACTCAAGTACAACAAATATAATAATAATAGCACAAATACGACATATACAACACATACCATACATACTGCATATAGTACAAGAACAATGTCTATAATTCATGTGGCAAGTTTTATTGGTATAAACGACTTTTACTTTAGTTGAGTATCCATTTTCGATTTTGATATTATTGCAGAATACATTCTTGTTTTATTTTTATTTTTATTGTAGTTTTGTTTTTGTTTGCTGCCGTTAGCATATCCTTTCTGCCTTCACAAACTAATATAGATATAGGAGAATATAGACACAGAGAAACACACACACTCCTTCGGTATGGATATGGATGTCCTTACTAAATATTGTATGTACATTTTGTGCCAGCCGTAGGCAAGGCAAGTGTTGAATTTAACAATTTATTTTCTTAGTTCCGATTTCTAAGCTTGTATTTTTTATGTTAAATCTTCTTTTTGTGCTTTTTGTGCTTTTTGTTAAATTAAAATTTATGTGCTTATGTACGAGCACTGCTATAAACATATTATGTTGATGTCCTGCATTGGAGTTTTATTACAACGAGTATTTTATTTTTTAATTGCTTTTCTGTTGTCTATTTTCCATTTTCTATTTTCTGTTATATGAGCATATCTATTACAATGTTTCATGCTTAAGTTGGTGCTGTAGCTTTTTATCTGAAAAATTTTCAGTTTGCTGCCACTCACATTGCAGGATTACGAACGAGCAGGATACCTCTTAAGTTAGCAGCTCGTATTTGTAATTTTAGATGTTTCTGATTTTAATTGCGTATTTGTTGCTAACGAAGTAATTTCCACTTTCTACTGGCTGTTGGCATCTACTGGTTTAAAATATCCATTTAAATTTTCTATGATTTATATTATACCATATTATAAAGGGACTGCGACATTGGCTACGATGAATTTATAGCACTCATACGCAATGTGAGCCTCAATATGAGTACGACAAGGTAAACTAGGAGGATTCAAGCACAGGAATTTTGTTTTTGTTATTGAAAACAAATTTTTAAACAAAAAAGACCAGTGTGCTTGATAATTTCTAAAATGTAGAACTGTGAATATTTCCAAAAATTTTAATAAATTAATTTTCTATTGGCAGTTCATTGGTGAGTTTTAGTTACTAACATAAATGCAGTTAAACGCTTTGAGTTTATTTATATATTGCTTTATAACTACATATTATCAAAAATATTGAAACTAATAAATAATATAAATAAATTGAAGTTACAGCTACACTAAAAATAACAAGCCAACATCACAGATAACGAAGTAATACCGATAGAGACAAAGTATGAAGAATTCAAAATCAGTAAATATGGTTTGAATATAGGTTAAGTAGAGTTGCAGTTTTTGTATAAACAAAAAGAAGTTCAAAAATAAAAATTACTTAAAATAAAACAAAATAAAAATACTAATAAACAGTTTCTACTCAAAATTGATATTCTATTTACATATATAAGCTCATACATATTTCTACTGAAATACTGGTACAGCCATAGAAGAAATAAAGAACTGTAAATAGAGTTGGATATATCACACTCTCGGTACAGTTTTATACCTGGACAATTAGTTTAACATATATGCTCTGTTCCGGCAATGATTTGGAGGGGAACAGTGAGTTAAGGGATGAAGATTATACATTATTTGACATCTGTATTTAATTCTGTAACAGAGTTAGAATTAAATATTTTAACAAAGTACTTAGATCCATTCAGGAAGATTGCAATACACATTCTAAAACGATCATTGTAGAGATTGTCTCTTCATAGTTTGTACGATTGCCATAGTATCGCTATTGTTGATAGGTTTGCCTACATATATACATTCTTCAGAGCAAATTAAAAAATCAAGTGAAACGAAATTATTGAGAATAAGTTTTGGAGTACATTCTGCTTTCAAGCTTGAAAGGAAACATAAAAAGTTCTTAAAGGGTTCATCATCAATAACCATCATTATCTATTCTGCCCTTCTTATATAGGGCAGTACCACAGCGTTATCTTCTTGATATATGTATTAAATATATTTAAAGAATATACGAATAGAAAAGAATACATAAATATTTATGTGTTTATATTTATAATTTATATATTTTTATTCCCTACGAAATACTAAACAAATATTATAAACTTATCTGAGCCTAAATTAACTTAAAGAACTTTATGGAAATATATATGTGAGTTCAAAGATATTTATGGTATTTTATGCTTCGACTTAACAGAACAGCGCCACCTATACATAAAGCCAGTAGCATAGTACCATTTTTTCGATATGTATGTTTGTTTATACATATAAACAATCTTAACTTTTGGATATTTACATATATATATATACACTTAGAAAGAATATTATCTTTCCAATACGTAGACACATATAAACAATATAACCATTAAGATGTAGCCGGCTTCGTGCCAGCGAACGTGCCACAAGAGAGGTCTTACTTAAAGAAATAGGACAGTTACGAACTCAGATGACATAACTAACGATTTTAGCTGATCCTCAGGACGCCTTTCTGACGTAATACTAGGAGGAACTCTCCATCCGAACATGTTTTTAGCGGATTAAAGTTTCGCACTGACTTAGGCTTTCGATATTTTTAGTCCTCGTTAAAAAAAAAACAAAAAAAAAACCATTAAGATGTGTACATATACATACACATATAAACAATATTATCTTTTGAATATGTATATGTATACATATGAAGAATATTATCTTTCTGATATGTATACAAATATACACATTATTATCTTTCTGACATTTGGATTCATTTATATACTTTTAAACAATATTATTGGTATTACTTTAGTCGTTATTGATTTATACTACTGTTCAAAGTGAATTCTCATATAAAATGATTTAGTTTAAGTATCAGTGAATTTTAATTATAAGCAATTAGAGTGTTAACTGATATCTTTGTTGTTCAAAGAGCATTTATTTTAGCTTAACAAGGCAAAAATGTGTTCAATATTCAAGCAAATGGGCAAATTCATTACCATTGAATTGCTTACACAAGAATAATTAAATTTTGCACATTTCTCAACAATATTTTAAGTGCCTCTTGCTTAGTACGGTGATTAAAATTGCACACAAATTAAATTAAAAATTAATATAAATTTTATGAGACGATTCCGAGAGCGTATCATACAAATTTGTGTCATTTCCGTTCATTATTGCGAGCAGTAAAGCAAAATATTTGCTTCCCAACGTTAACAAGACGGCAACAATAAGTAATGACAGGCCATGATAAAAATCTCAACATTTCGTTTATTAATAGGACACGTACGTCTTCAACTGTCTAACTGTTTGTCTAAGTGTCTCTCAGCATGGCAGTCTTGTCTGTCTGTCAGTTTATTTGCTGCCGTTGTTTGCTGTTGTTTGCTGTTCTTGGCTTGTTTGCTCAATTTGAACTACTTATTATTATGCTGTATCTCGGGCTTGCCCCACTGTTTACTGCTCTACTGTTTATTTATCTGAGTATAAGCAAAATTGTTGATTGTAATTTTTATAATAAAAAATATTTGCTTTGACATTGCTGTCAAGTCATAATCATAACTCAAACTTAACATTGCCAGCCAGATTTGAGAGAAAATTGAAGTATCTACATGCATAGAGCTACTTACCATCGTGCGAATCGTAGAGATAAATTATTTTGCGCCAGCCATAAAATTGTATTGTATCAATAATCGCCTGATGATAATCGGGACGCATACTGATGGCAAAATCAAGAAAACCGGATGAGGGTGTGAGCACCTACACAAGCGGCAAACGAATCGGCAACACATCAAGGCGCACCCACAAGCGGAGTACATGGGTGATGTACCGAGTGCAAAATCGCAAAATCGGAGTATCCAAGTATGCCATACCAGAATTGCAAAATCCAATGGAGCACAGCATAAAGCGAAGCGTCGTTTGATAGGCAAATAGTGAAGAAAAAGAAGATAAAAATTCACAAAATGAAATACGCGAATATTAAGTCGAAAACAATACAAAATACAAAGATATTGTATAACAAAACTCAGAAACTGTATGAATTGATTATGTGAGTCCTCTGTGCATAAGCGCCAGCTAAAGTTTGGCTCAGCGACATCGGATGCCACATAAGCAAACAGGCAGAGCACGCATTGTGCCAGGATTTATGGCGAATGATTTATTGTGATTGAAATAACAGTGACTGCAGGCTGGCTCTAGATAGCACAGCACTTTTAAGTGGTGTAAGTGACAGTGGAGACCGTGGAATTAGTAATGGCAACAACCACTGTTGCCGCCATTGTTTTGATAATAAAACATAAAATTATTATTATGATTTGTTTATTTGGAACAGGAACGCTTTTATAACTTTATTAAATTTTTTATTCATTTTTCCTTTATTTTCGGCCATATTTTCGTTTTTATTATTATAGTATTGCTTCATATCTGGAAAGTTGATTTTAGTTTACAGCCAACGAGGCGTATGATTTACATTTTACGTCACAAATTAAGGAAAATACGCGTCCGAAAACAATCCATGGAGTTGACGACAAAAATATGTTTAATTTAAAATTGTCAACTGCACTTGATATTGTATACTTGATGTTATACTTGATGAATAATAACGATAAAGTTAATTATAGTAAACTACTATTGCTTTCAATTTGACATGTAATGTAATAATTAATTTAATTATATGGATAATAAAAAAGTCAACGGTGAAAAACATAAACAAAATTTATGCTTAAAGATATTATGAAACTTTGTATTTAATCTGATAGTGGAGTGGTTTTAAGTATTGAAACAGAAATTGCGAAAAATAAAATTTTTTATTCTTAATGAATCTTCCTTTTACACACAATTTACTCACAATTCGATCGAAGGACAAACTAGTCATTAATTACCTGATTAAAGGGTTACTTTGATAGAGTAAATCATGTAATTTTAATATATTCATTATAAACTATATTTCATTGAATCAAGTTATTTCAAAAAGAATTAACATTTTTTGTGTTTCGTAGACTAAAATATATTTATTTAAGTTATAAAATCTAAAAGTATATAGATAAGCTAATAAAGCTAACGGATTCATAGCCAATTTATAAAGCTTTTACTTCTTTTTTATATAAAAACTGAAAAAAAAGTATTAGAATCCGTGTTTTGTTTCTCTCTGGTGCTACTATTCTTATCAATAAAGCAATTATACTTCTATTTCTATCAATAATCTTATCAATCTTTCTCTACCATAATATTTTATTAGAAAATTAAATGAAGAAACAAAAAAAAATAATTGTTGCAATTTCGCGACTGTTCGATAAAAAACCTTCCCTATTGAAGACAATCGTTCATAATAATAATTAAGCTTCTTTCGTCAAAAGAGACATTAAGAATCAATGTAATAAAATTTAAATCTAGCTTTTTCTTCCCTTTAATACTAGCACTCGTACCAATCAAATTATCCATCTTACACTACTTCATAATTTTTTAATTATTATTTTAAAATTTATATATAATGCTTCTGTTGCTACTACTTTTATTAATAAAATAATTATTGTCTCTTACTCTATTATTGTTTTAGAAAAATTTTGAAAAAATATTTAAGTCCAAGTTTTACCTTTCTAATACTACTGTATCCAATAAAACAAATAACCTTTCTTTATTCTATAGTAAAATTTTTATACAAAAACTTAAAATAAGGCCTAAATCCATATATTACTTCTCAGTGGTAATACTTTTTCGATCAATAAAAAAGCTAACATTTTTCTACTCTTCAATTTCTATACAGAAATTTAAATAAATGATTAAAATTTATATCTTGCGTCCCTCTAACACTACAATTCCTACCAATAAAACAATTGACATTGCTCTACTTCATAAGAAGAATATTTAAATCCTTGTTTTATTTCTCTCTGGTACTACCGTTTCTATCAATAAATTAATTTATTTTGTTCTACTTTTTAATATTATGTAAAAATTTCAAAAAAATTTCGAAATCCATATTTTCCTTCCTCTGATAGTACTACTTCCACTCAATTATTTTTCTTCTACCTTATAATTTTTATACAAAAATTCAAACAAAAATATTTAAATCCATGTTTAGCCCCTCTCTGTTAACCCAGACTCAATTGTAAAAAATATCTACCAAATATAGTCCAAAATTGATATTTATGTCTAAAGGTTACTCCAACTACTTCTAGCCAGTGAACTCACTCAGGCTGATTCCTGATTTATTTTATCATATACAAATGTATGATTGTGAAATCCTCACACACTGCACCGTAAAAACCTTACTTATGTGCATAATAATAATATTTTAAAGTAAATGTAAATCATACGCCGTGTTAGCCCGGAAAAGTTATGTGCGCTCATAAACTATAAAAAATTTTGTTTTCGACATTTAAATCGCGTATTTGGCTGTGTAAACATAATTCAAGAATATTTTTTTAAAAACTCAGTCATTTTATTGCACATAAATAAATCATACAAATTTGTTTGCTACGGAATGTTATACATTATAAAGCATATATATATATATATATGTATATATATAAATGCCAAAATCATAAAATACCAAAATAAACTATTTACATTCGCAACATCAGGGGGGAAGAAACAAAACAAAAAAATTAAGGAAATAGGATAGAGAAATTATTTTAAATAAAGTTGAACTTACTTTTTCCGGAAACCATGGCGTCACAAATGGCATTTGAAATGTGTTACTGTACGAGTGCAATGTGTCAAAGGAATCCGGAGATACTGCGCCCAACATCGAATAAACGCCACGCGAAAATTGATTGCATACTGAAATCACAATTGCAACGGTAGCAGTCATAAATTGAAAGATGCAAGCACAAAATAAATAAACAGAAAAAAAGAGGTTCCAATGAAATATTGAATATATTGAACTGTTGGTGCACAAAGTCGAATTAAACGAAAAATGTAGTTACAATAAATTTATTTAAAAAAAATTGTGCATAATTAATGAAAGGCAGTTTTGCAAATGGCCACTTTTTCATTTTTATATCTGCATTTAAATTTTATTAATTTATTTTCTCTTTTTTTTTTCTTATTTCGTATTTTTGTTTTTGTATCTGTTTTCGATGACTTACTTAATCGCGACAATTTGAATGCATCCGCTGTGTTGATGACGTCCACGTAGGCTTGCAACTCGAACCGTCTCGATGATACATTGAGATTATGATTCAGCATCGCATATTTAAAGGCGGACTGCACTTCATCTGTGCCTTGTTCGAATATTGCACCTGATATTGTTTCCATTGTTGTTGTGCGGAATTGGTCGGAGTTTAAAAGTTGATTTATGAAAAGATACAAAGAAGAAGAAAGATTTTATTAATATACTCAGATATCCATTTAAAAATGTTATAGTAGATTGCTGGAACAGAATCAAAAATATTCATGACAAATTAAGATTGAGATTTTTTTAAATAATTGCAGATGAAAATGAAAATAAAAATAAAAATAAAAATAAAAAATGGAAACTTCAAGGAAAAATCTTTTAAATGGTGGTTTAAATCATCAATAATAATCTCTTTGATTTATTATGGAAAATCAAATAAAAAGGAATAAGCACGACATGTATTCAGCGCCAAGAAGTTGATGATCACCCAGCCTTAAATTTGTGAACATTAGATACATTCGATACCTAGCCTAGTGGTTAGCAACTTTGGCTCTTGCTACTAAGGTCCAAGTACAATTCCCAATCAGGATAGACTTTAATAATTTATAGTAATAGAAATTACTATGCTATAAATCAAGATTATTATAAGAAGCAAGAGTATTAATAATTTTAAACAGAATGAATTAATTTGAGTATTCTTAAATGTCAAAGGACGATCCGTAGTGGGTAATTTTAGAGTTACCATTTAGATAACGTTAACATTTAGGCAAATCGTAAATGGTAACTCCATTTATTTAAATTTTGTTAATGTTACTTTGAATTTATCTAAGAGAAGGAGAGCGGGTATCTACTAGGGAGATATGTAAAAACGGTTGTCATACTTCTAACCTACCTGTCTTGCAGTATTATTTTGACCGAGATATATGCAATTGCAAATAAAATACAAATTGGTGCAATTCGTCATTTGTTTGAAATTGAACAGCCAGTCAGAGATGGGAGCAATCGAGTCCAAAACGGTTTAATCGACGACTGTGATGAAATATCGTGCCTCACTATTGAACATCAAATATTACAAAGCTTCAATTTGCTAGATTCCAGGGCATAGCAACATTCAACGAAAGAGAGTAGCAGATGATATGGTCAGAAGAGGTTTAGGAATGCATGTAAATAAAGCTAACATATCGGTACAAGCCCCCATGTGTGAACTTTTTAAGAATATAAAAGAATTCATCGTAGCCTTTTCAAATGATTTACTGACCAAATGCGAAGATTTCGTGTTTGATAGAACTGTAAATCTTTCTGTAGTACTAATAGTGCACTTACGGTAGTATAAACAGAGTAATGTGCCCTTGCTTTAATGATGGCGTAATTTGACAAGTGGATTGTATCATAAATAAATTATAAGTAAAATCCATTAATTACTTTCTCCATTCATTTTTAGAACTACGGACTTTAATGTAATACAGGTTTTTTTCACTGATCTGGCAGAGATAATAAACTTGAAATTCTCGCATTTTCTTAGTTTCATCTAAAAGATGATATGGTTAATAACAATAATATACGAAAATAACAGTGATTAATATAACTAGTCTCTCCCAGACAACTTTAAGGATATCACAATCTGCAATAGATTTGTGCGAGCAGAAGTGCTGACATTGCTTCAATGGGATGATTTATAGTGTTAAATTAAATTTTATGCTTGTGGATGGTCATACAAATCAAGATGATCCTAACTACATACTGAGTTTAACCACAGAAATGGATGTTTGTCAAAAATGTAATGAAAATTTGAAAATGCAGTGACAGAGGCAGAATTGAAGGTAGAATTGAAGGCAGACGTGGCCCTGGAAGACGAAAAATATCATGGCTGAAGAATTTAAGTCAAGGGTTTAATAAAAGTACAAGATCACTTTTTCGAGAGGCTGTAAATAAAGTCAAAATAGCAATCATGTTTGCCAACGTTCGAAGCGGACAAGGCACCTAGAAGAAGAAAAAGTGACAGAATATACTGCTCTGAAGGGAAGAAGAGCAAGTCAAAGTTTGTAATGAACGTAAACAAGTCCCAGTGAGCTACAATTAGCTCACCCTTCACATTTATTTTTATAATACATTGAGGATACATCCCTAGATTAGAAGAAATGTGACCACTACGAAAATCCACAAACCTACGATCATTCTAAACTTTGATATTAAAATAATTATAACCTTCCATTACCTTCAACCTAATTATCTTCAAGTAAGATATAAAAAAACTCATTTTAAATCTTATTTCTAATGTGGTAAATGTGGTAACAAAATGTCGATTAATAATCAACTCATTTGTGTCCCCTCAGTACTTTGCTTAGTGAAAATTTTGAAGGATTATTCATTGAATGAGAAACGGTTGTTCTAGCATTTCTCTATTGAAAGATAGTTTTAAATAATTTAAATAATTTTAATTTTTATTTAAAAAATAACCATTTCTTGTGTAACTATATCGCCATTTAAGTCAATCAACCTATCATATGTGTAATTAGTATAACTTCTACATAAATACGTTAGTTGAAAGAAAAAAGGATTTGAAGTAAATATGGAAAAAATGTTTTATTAGGAAAAGGAACTTTTTGGTGTTATTAAAAACAGTGATTCGTATTAAAATATAAGTATCACATAAACAAAAACTATGTTTAAAAAATTATACATTAGGATCCTAGGTAGTTAAAGTCGAAGGAGGATAAAATGCTCCTCGATTAGCTATGAAAGACTTTTAAATTCCCTCTTCTCTGTCATTTTGGATAGAAGAGATTATTGATGAGTGGAAGTATATTAATGTCGGGTGAATTAAGGAATGGATTACTCACTCTGAAAGGACTCTCAAAATTATGTATAACAACAAGGATATAATATGCAAAAAATAAACACTTTCGGTGAAGTACTTAAATATTTTTCCTAAATTTGACTCTTCTCCTACTTATTAATCCAAATAGAAAATAAAATCGAATCTCTTCAATTCTATTTTAAGAATTTTAAGGGTATCATGATTGAACTGCAGTTTCATTTAAAGACTTACAACTTTTCGAAGTGTATTGTTGCTTGTAAAAAAAGAAGAAAAATTCCAGAGAGAATTAAATATGAAGTTCTGAAAAAGTTTGCTTTTAACTTTAAAGTACTTAAAATGTAATAAAAATCTAAAATAAAAATACCAGCATTTTAGCTTTACTAAATTTGTGTGATTTTATTTCAGTATTTATTTTTTTCTTGCTTCAATTTCAGTTTTATCCCATTTTTGTGCATAGCTTAAAACTTAAAACTGAGCTGGGGTCCGATACTTTTGTGACGCCACCGAGTACCAGTAAAAGTTTATAAAACTTTGTTTTTAGTAATTAAAAATAAAAAACCAGCAACTTGAAAACTTTCTTTTTTCACAGGATTTTTTTGGATTTTTTCGCATGTGCTCTAATGTACAGAAAGTGCTGCGGGCATGTGTTACAGAGTTCTCTACTGCGAACGTTGTTTTCCAAAACAATTACATCATATATACAAACTTGGAAATGTTGTTGTTGTTGTACGGTGCTGTACGGCTCCGACATTAGGTGTAGTCGTAGCGGTTGGTGGCACTGTAATTGCGTTGCCATGGCGGAGCAATAGCGGAGCAACGGTGGAGCAATGGTTATGATAATCCAATTAACTGACTGCACAAAGGCAGTAAATTTTTAAAAATTAACGAGTTAAAAGTATTTCGAAATATTTTATAAATTTTTTAAAATTTTTTCTAATAGCGCAAAATGGTAAAGAAGTAAAAAGAGAATTTTTAAGTGAAATTTATTCACCCGCAATGACTCAAGGACTTTCAATTATTTCATTACTGGTGGCTTCAAAAAGCACTTTGCCCTGATTTTTTATTCTAAATTACGTTTGTGTACTTCAGGGATGAGTAGATCCCTATGTGAATGAATTATTTGAGAAATTAATATTTTCAATAAAATTTTCGAAATTTTAAATATTATGAAAATAAATAATGTTGTGTCATGCAGGAGGAGATTTACCTAAAAATTGACAACCGAAAAACTGTGCCACACAAATTTCACGCTCAACCGAACAAAATCTATTGAGGAGAGAAAAATTTGGTAAAAAATTATAAATGTGCATAAGTAAAGTATCGCATTATATATCGCATTATAAATGCTAATAAACTGAAAACAATTTAAGCGTTTGATACGTTTTAGTTAGCATAAACGCCGGCAATGGGAGATAATACTGCAGTACCGCACTAAGTCCACAAAATTGCCGTCGTGGGCTTTGCCGATGCGCCGCAGCTGCGAGCATAAATTCCGTATTTATTCAAATTTATTTACAAACAAACGCTTTGGTGACTCTGTGCAGCGGGGAGGCATTAAAATTAATTTAAATGGAGCAAATGGAAAAGTATTAAAAAGTTTCCACAGAAAAATCCTAAAAAAGTGCATCAAGTGTGTATTGAAAGAGAGAAATGGATTTTAACAATTACGAACTGATTATCATCAGAAGCCATTAAAATAATAATTTAAATAACAAAACCAGAGCTCGCATTTTTCATATACGAGTATGAATTAGCTTAAAATAATAGCTGGCTTAAAATAATAATAATAATTGTAATTTAAATTGCTTGCATTACCACGTTGACATATCGGCTGATGGGTACGTAGGATGGTAGTACTGACAGCACTACTAATAAAAAATCCATATAACTTTAAATAACTTACAAGTGTCTTCGATTTAAACATTATGTCATTTGAAGGATTAGTCATTCAGTTAGAACTGTCTTAGTTACAGTACTTTTTATATTTTTAGAATGGATTTAAAGCAATGTCATGTCTTGGTTAATTATTGCTTTTTGATGGGACAAAACATTGTGACAGCAAAAAACTCTACTACACTGTAGGTGTAGTAGAGAAGTGTTCAGTTGTTTTTAAAGTCCGCCCTATGAACACCGATGATGCTAAACGCCTTGAAAAGCAAATATAAAGTCAACAAAATCGACAAAGATAGCTTACATCTTAAAGATCTCAAAGGAACGTGTCGACTTCATTTTGCATGAGTATTTATCTATGAGATAGTTCTCTTAGACATAGGATCCGCGTTTGCTGACAGTTGACCAAAGACAACAACGTGTCGATGATTGTGAATCCTATTTAGGGCTGTTAAATCCGGATAAAAAGAACATTTTGCATCGGTGCAGCGGCATCGGATGAAGCCTGAGTCCACCATTTGATGCCAGAGTAGAATTGGAAATCAATTGAGAGAGGGAGCCAAAAACACATCAAACAGCTGACAAAATTATGACATTTGTATTTTGGTATGGGCGTGGAATTTTGTCCATTGATTACCTTGAAAAAAGCGAGATTATCAATAGCAATCCTTAAATGGCCCAAATGATGAACTAAAAAATATATAAATTACTTGAAATAGAAAATAACAATTACTTGGTCCGGATAGCTTTGTTCAAATCGATGATTTAATTGCTTTTTTTGGCTACAATTAATCGTGTGACTGTGCTTAAAAGACATTCAAGTGATTATGATATATTATAAGTAATATTTAGAGAGCTTTTATTAAGTGCTATGCATATAATATGCATAATAATAATAATATTAATAATATTGTAGAAAAGTTTTCCAATCAATTCAAAAGAGATTTTTCCTTACATTGAATATGATTTAATCTACAAACAGAGCTGGTGGATAGATGAAATATTATATAAGCTTTATATTAAGTTATTTCACTTATAAAAATTTAAGATATTGGATTACATTAGACGAGGAGAAATTTTAAGGGATGCATTTTTTCTTAACCAACTTTTCTATTGAAGTCTCAGAACCTTCGTGAGAAGGTTATTTGAATTGCAGCAAAGCTAAAGATTTTTTTTTGGACATGATTTTGTTCATCTGTTATTCTCAAACTATATATTATTATTGCCTATTACATATGTCAGACATAACAAATATTTTAACAAAAACTAAAAAAGAAATACTGACCTGAAATATGTTAATCGGGATTAATATGGTAACAAATTTATCAAAATATTACTAATAAAATAAACAGAAATGAAGATAAATAAAACTGTTTAAATTTCTGACTTAATATTTTGGACTTATGCATAATTAACATATAATTGAAACCATAAACCATATAATAATTAAATAAAAAATACAAATATTACCAGACAAGCTCGATAAGAGAAAAGTAAATAGAGCATTAAGTGGCTGAAACTCATTCAAAATATTAACAATATTTATTTTACTGTTTGGCTTAAAGCATTTAAAATAAAATTTAATTTTTAAATACATTTCAATATAAATTTCGATTAAATCATATAAGAAAAATATGTGTGGATAAGTGTTTCTTAACCTTTTTTGTGCTATTCTTTACCTAAATCAATTTATTATATCTTGCTTCTATCATTGTATCTATCTATCATGTAACGTTTGTAACAGATAGATTTTACTTATAATGAACTTAATTTTGGAGTTAAAAGTTGTACAAGGTACAATGTAGTTACCGGCCGTATGCAAGTCTCAGTGCCTCAAATGTTCCACTAAATACATAAATACCTAGCACATTATAAACTAATGCACCTATTAATAAATTATGGACGTTATATCGTAGCTGCTATTAAACATTGACAAAAATAATCCAAATAAATTAAATGCAATTTTCTTAATATCTGTGAAGTACCATTTAATACAAAAAAATGTTAATACAGATGAAATTTAATTGTATCAATTTTTGTAAAAGTTTATTTACGAAATACCTTTCTATGGAGCCAAAGTCACTGGATGGAAAGCACAAGTGCAGATTTCTTAATGTGCTTGACTAACTTTTTTTCTTTGGTTGAATGTTCATAGTATATTACCCTCAATATTTATTATTATTATAAGGGACAAAGGTGTGGTGCGACATATAATATATATTGTGTGATTCTCACAAAAACTCTTCTAATTTAACCTGGATAAACTAACGCATTATAATCGTCACATATCTTTATATTCCAAACCATTCCCGATTCAGTAACTGCCGAATAAAGGTAGTGGACTCGTTACCTATACCGTTACCGGAATAAACCTCGACAAATTGTTAATAATGTTTCAGGATTTTAGATCTTAGATCTCATTCGATTCAGTAATAGTCGAAAATGTTACTGAACTCATTTCCTAATTTTATTATTATTACTATATTATTTATATAATAATAATTATATACAATTATATTATATTATATTGAATTGTTTATTAAAACTGTTGTATAAATACTGTTCTTTTATATATATTGTTATACAAACTGTATTATACTATATATTATTATATAGAGACAATGGTAAATATAAGAATAAGTTTGCGGATAGTTTCCGAAATTAAACTCGACAAATTATTAGTTAAGGAAGGCCAACGTTCACACTGGACTGTAGTGCCAAAAAAGAACACAATTATTAGTTATTAGTAAATCTTCGTGATTTTACATCTTAGATTTCCGAACGAATGAAGATACTAAAATCGTTGCCTGGCAATCGTGTGGCACAAGCAGCTAAGATGTCTAGATGTTGCACTTTGCATTTTACAAAATCTGGTGTTGTCGGTGTATTTTAGTCCCCATTTTTATGTATAGTTAAACTATATAGTTTTTATACTTTTTTATTTTAAAACGGTCAAATTAAATGTCTAACAATGTAACGTTTATGTACGGCTTTGGTGATTCTTCAGTTATAATCATATAGATTAATTAGGAATACAATAAAGGTCTCATTACAATGACATACTTGTTTCTTCGTAACATATTGAATTCCTTACGACTGAAAGTTTATGGTTGTACATGAGGTTATATGTTTATTTCAAAGAAACAGAAGAAAGACCTTGCCTGGTTCAAATATAAGGGAAAAATTTTTTTACGCAAGATGCAGGAGAGCATATATGGTAAGGCAATGTTAGTTTTCATATGAAAAAAATTTATATACTAAATGTATATATATACCAAAATGTATATAAAATACATATAAACAAAAATTTTAAAAAAAAGTAATTTAATTTGAAGTAAATTATTATGAAGACAATTTGCAATTTAAAAAAATTTTTTAGCAATAATTAAATATAACAAGTACTTTCAAAATCATTTAAAATGGGTATTTGGCAATATTAAAAACAGCTGTATGGTCAACCAAAAATTCAATTAATTAGAAATAAAATTTTGTTTTTGCAATTCACTACTGTTTGGTTATTAATACCATTTTTATGATCTTCAGGCTTGTAATTTTAGACATCGGGAAAGGCATAAACTTAATATGTCCTTGATTAGCACTGCAACCGATTCAATTTAACATTGTGTTTTTCCGTGTTGATTTTTAGCGATACTAGTTGGAACCAGTTGTTATATATCCAGATAATTTAACGCAACATAAGACTAATTTCCAGGTTTAACTAATTAAAATACTCTAAGAGAATTAGCGAAGATGAACGACAGTTATAAATACACATTTGAATTAGGTGGAATATTAAAAAATAAAAAAAAAGTTTCGGAAGGTATAAAATAACTATTATATAGATATCGTGTTTTTTTTTTCTTAAAAACATGATACTGTATTGAAAGTCATTAGTAGAGTAGGAATACTGTCCTCTAAATTTTTTCAAAAAAGTTTGGAAAGATATAAATATTGAGACTATATCAATACACTTTCTAGTGATTTTATGTCAAATACCTTTTACTGCAAATAGTGTTAAAGTTAACTTAATTTCAAATCGCGATTGTAAAAGAGAGATAAGAAATACTGCTATTGTTTGCAGAAAGGAAAGTTACTTTGAACTGGTACAGTAATCGATAGTAAAATAGTAAAATAATATTGAATGTGATATGTCAAGACAGCGTTCTGTTAGTATGGAAGCTGGTGACCGTTGTCAAAAAATCTGTCTTCCATGAATTTTGCTAGTAGGTAACGACTTTTTTGGAAATTCTTTGAAATGGTATAAAAGTACGTAATGTTAACAATAAGTTAATAACTTCCTATATAGCCAGTATCTAAAAGCAGTGAATGCATTAAGGTAATTTTAGTTTTATTGAAGTAGTTTCAACAGAAGTTGTTTAATTTTATAGTGTAGTATAAGGGCTACATTCTGAAATGCCCTTAATTAAATTTTCATAAGAAAACTTTCAAGTTAAATAAAATATTTTGCACTAGAACAGACTTTCCTTCAACATTTAAGCCAAAGTCGAGAAAAGACGCTTCCAAGCGGAGAGCTAACGTCATTTACATGTAGAAGTGTTGATGCAACTTAAAATTGAAGCAACTTTCCTGCTCGCAAATACAAAATAGTGAATAGTGAAGACATTTGCTGTAGCAAATCCCATTAAAGTTGCTACTGCAGTTGCCAGTCAGTTGCTAGTCACTTGCTAGTATTATTGTTGCTGCAGCACATAATCTAAGTATGCGGTTTGGTGCACTTCCGGTGTTTGCACATTTTAATGGCACATATGCAGCGTTAAAGTTCACAAACACACCAATACACACAGACAAATAAGTGTGCTCTAAGCTCTAAAGAAAATGTTGCACTGTAAACCAGCAGAGCCAGAGTTGCCAGCGCTATTGGCGCTGATGCGGTGTAAGCAGTACGGTGTGCGGTGTGCTTTGTGTATGTGCAAAATGCATAACGCGCGAATGTTTTATGTGCCATAAAAATAAAAATAAAGAATTTATAATATATAAAATGTTAAATAATAAAATAAATGAAAAGAAGCGTAAAAACAAACTAAAAAAAATAAAAAATATAACGGAAAGAAAATACATTTGCTACTTTAGGAGTGTGTGCTTTTGGCTTACCTAACGGGATTTTCTCGGTTAATGATGGCTGTGCGACGGTGAGTTTTAACCAAAGAGTTGCCAGCGTTATCCATAAAAATGTAAACAATTTTAATCCAAAAAGCATGTTGAATGCGCTTTTGTTGGCGTTGTAGCCACTTTTTCGCGTTTTGCGGTATGAAATTGTACTAAAATGGATTGTTTTAACCCAACAACTGCACAAAAGAATGTTTGGTGAAAGGCTTTAGAAACTATTGTGTAATATTTGAGTAATATCTGTGTGTGTGTGTGTGTTTATGTATGTATGTATGTGGTTTTGCGTTACTTTATGTTTGTTGGTATGTTTAGGTGTGCTTCTGTGTGTTAATGTTTGCTTTTGTGGTTTGTGTTTGTTTTATTTTTTTCTTTTTTTCTTTTTATTTACTATATATCTTTTGTGTTAAGTTGGCAGCACTTTGTGTACGTGGAGTGCAATGCAATTGAGTTGGCTGCAATTATGGCAGAGAGTTGGCGTATGTTTTTAAGTACACTTTGCACTCTTAGTAAATGAAGACACTTTTTTCTTGTCGCAGCAATTTAATTTATTTTAATTTTTTAAATTTTCTTTTTAATTGAAATGAAATATTAAAATTGTTTTACACACATTCTGACAATGTATTTTATTTTATTTTTATTTATTTATTTTTTTTTTCTTGCTGTGTTAATTTTAAAATTGGCTTTCAATTTTTGTGTACATTTCCACGCATTTTGGGGCCAATTTCACACACTTTTCACTGCTGTTCTATTTTTTGTTTTCTCTTTTATTTTTTCGTTTTGGTCACTTTTAGTGAACACGTCGTTTCTCGTTATTAAAACTACTTTTCCCCTTTTGTGTTTTCAGAGTTTGTGGAGCATGTGTGTTCGCTACTTTTTTGTTTATTTTTTTTTTTGTGTTTGTGTTTTGTTTTTACAATTCACTTAATTTTGTGCATCCTTTTGAAAATGTGCACATTTTGTCCTTTTTAAATTTGTACAATGACAACTCTCGGGGTCGTCGCTTGTTCATTTCGTACAAGGTACGCACGTGCCTTTTGCACTTGTTACAATTATGCAAATAACTTTGCCCATCATCGACGTACGTAATATGCGTGCTTGTGTGTGTTAGTATGTCAATTGTTGTACGCTTGCAACGCATATATAAGTTCGGAGTGGTGTGAGTGGTGTGTGCAGTGGGGCGTGCATTAAAATTTATGCTCAATGCTCAATGCTGAATGGTGAATACTGAAAACGTATGCGAGTAATACTTGTCTATATGTGTAATCTTTTAATAGTGTGTGTGTGTGTGTGTATGTTTAATGCCTGCCTGCCAGCCTGTTTGCCTGCTAGCCTATTTGCCTGCCAGCCTCTCCTTTTGGGTCGTTGACGCTTTGCTCCGCTGCTCTGATTTCGTTTGGTTGCTTTTCTCACTCGTTAATTATTTAAAACTCAGTGGATTTGCTGTTGCTGTTGTTGTTGTTGTTGTTGTCGTCATTGATGTTCCGCTTGTATTGGCTTTTGTTGTTGCCGTTGTAGCCGTTGTAGATGTTGTTACTCTTGTTGCTTCGTTCGCTTGCTATATGATTCAGTGTCAACGTTGTATTTGTTGTTTTGTTATTGTACTTGTTTTTGTATTGCTATTAACTTTTATTGTTGTTGTTGTTTTTATTATTGCTATTGTTGATGTTGTTTTTGTTGTTGGTGTTGTTGCTCGTAAAAACATTGTGTCGGTGAGTTTGCACAGGAACTGTTGTTAACATTATGAAAACGTTTATATATAAATAAATTTTTAATTATAATTTTTTTTGTGTGTGTGCATTTTTTATTGTTGCTTTTGTATTGCCTTACTTTCAGCTGTTGCTGTAGCTGTAGCAATAACTATTGTTTTTGTTATTGTTGTTGTTGGTTTTGTCATATTCGTTTTATTTTAATTGCTGTCATTATTGCTGTTGTAGCTGTTGTAGCTGTTGAAGCCGTTGTTACTCGTTGTTCTTTGTTGTTTGTTGTTTTTATTAATGCACTTTATACTTTCGCAAACACACTAATTTTAATTAATATTATAATTAACACATTAACACATTTAATTGTATTAGTTGTCGCATTAATTTTTATTATAAAAACTTTCCTAAATTATGCATTAAAATTATGATTGTTCAGTTTTGTTGCTGTTATTGTAATTGCTATTTTTTGTGCTCTTGCTGCTGTAGCTGCTGCTTGTTATAATTGTTGTTATTGTTGTTGTTGTTGTTGCGTTTTGATTTTAATTAAATATGCACCAACAAATGCAGTCTTTTCCATTACATGTAATATTAAATGTAATGCATTATTTAAATAAAATAAATTGTTTTTCATACAAAATCTGCAATTTAAGTTGAAAATTATTTTTGTTGTTGAATTAAAAATTTTTGCAAAATTATTCTAAAATGTTGCTTAGCACGAAAGGATAAGGCCTTGGCGTGTTTATTATTGTTTTATTATTTATGATATTTTAATTTTGCTAAATGGATTTATTTCAAATTCAGTTTTCATTGTTCAATTATTTACACTCTGAAAAGCCCGCATTAGTCGAAACACAAAATTTGTGCGTCAATACCAAAACTACCAAAAAAAAAAAGATTAAAAAAAATTTTTTTTATTAAAATTAGTAATAAAATTTTACTAAAATGTATACTTTTTCAACTAGTGAATTATTGCACTTAAGTAAAATTATTACAAATCACATATTTATTTGGTAAATTGTGTTAATATTTGCAATTTATAGAATTACGTTTGTTTGTTTTAATTAAATTTGTATATAAATAAATACAAAATTAATTAATTAATAATTTAATACTTCTAGCACATTCATTCATATTACATATCACACCATCATAAAATTATTTCATTATTTGCATAGGATAACTCTAAATTTTAGTTCTAACACTAATACTCTCAAATACCTAGGCATAACCTTTGATAACAAGCACTCCTGGAAAGCACATTTCAAGTCCAAACGAGCTCAAGCTGCCCGAATATTACACTCCCTTCACCCGCTCATCAGCAGCAAAAAGCTAAACATAAAGAATAGAGTTAGCATATTTAAGCAGATTATTAAACCTGGACTACTTTATGGCAGCGTAATTTGATAAACGTATTCAGTTATTCTTAGTGTGACTTAAAACTGTCCACAGATAAAATAGAGTAAAGGTGCTGATTCACCAACTCATACATCTGAATATCAATAATAATCTAAAACATATATCCTTTACCATAAAAATTATTAGTACTTGTACGTTTCAATTGGATAGTTTTAGAGTACATCGAGATATTTCTACCATAGTGGAATAAGCATCGAGTTTCAAAACTGACTTCCATGTTGATCGTAGACAAGTTAGTACTGGAGGTCCTAAATGGAGCTGATTCCTTAAGACCAATTTACCATTGAATTAAGTAAGCAAAGTCGATGACTTAAACACTACTTAAGTAAATATTGAGATATAAATTGGAAACAATCTTTAAGTTGAATTAATAAGTGCTACCTCAATAAGATATCTTCGTGAGATACTAGTAGTATTAAATCTGTATGAAAAATCGAATTATCAATTTAGTGTTAGGATCTATTTTGAAGTCTGAATGTATCACTTTCGTTCCTAGCTTCAATTAGCAGTTATTATTACTTTATGCAAAATAGTAATTAATCACACTTTAGATCTATTTTTAAAGAAAAAAATGGCAATTGGATTATATGAATGGCGCTGACCCGAACGGCGTGACCCGTTAAATAAACAAGTTCTATTTTCTCTGTACTTTTCCATTCAAACATAAGATTCTTGCAATTGCAGATCAATTTGGATTTTATGGCTGATAACTAAAGAAATTTTAGACCTATTCGATAATAAAAATGTATAATAATGCTAGATCCAGAAGAAAATATTGGACTTCCGGTCATATTAAAATGTGAGAATAATAGATAAGGATGCATGCTGTTCATTATTTTTTCTTCAACATTTGCTTACGTTTAAATTGTGGCAGGTTACTCATTGAATAGAAAAGTAAACTTCTTAGCATTGTTAAAAATAAAGCACTGCTCTTTAAAGATAAAAAACACAAATCCAGAAATTCATGGTAAAGTCTTATCCGAAATGATCGAAATTAACTGTTTGTCGATGGGTTACTGAGTTTAAACATTATCGTACAAGTTCGCATAATGCTAAATGTTCTGTCCGTAGTTCCTTCATAAAACTTTAAAAAAGTTTACTAAATCATTTTTGTGCTTGTAAAGTAAAGTTAAAAAGAACTGACACTTCATAGTAATCAGTAACCCATCAAATAGTAGTCTATGAAGCGAAAGTAGTATTCGAAATTGGAACCACATCTACCAACATCTGCCTACAACAAAAATATGTTAGAGCGCAATAAATAGAATTATTTATATGATTTAAAAAAATGCGATAAAACACGGATTCATTTATCTATTTCAGAGATCAATGTTTTGCTACGTAGAGAGTAATCGGCAAAAGCTATCCAAAATGACCAAAAAAAAGTTCAGTACATAATCTTTAGTTACTGTATTTTAGGCTGCTTAGTGTAATTTAGTCAGTCATTTCTTTGAGAAACTATATTCAATCATTAGTGAATATTAAATGACATTTTTGTACGCAGACCGCAAATAAAGACGAAAAAATGCTCTTTCATTAAGACATTGTATCAGATCACCGCAATAGAAAAATTGTCTGAAACATTGTCCTGCACTGCAGAATTATTTATGAAAAACTTAGATATAGTATTATTACTAATATAATCTGTGAGCTATTCGTATAATCTATAAACTATTAATATAATATAAGGTAAAACCTTTGTCAGAATAAGAAAATCAGCCCAAAAACAGTGATGAGGAGTGATTGATAAACAATCACTGGTTAAAGTTGCGAAAGATATGGAAACTTACATCAGTGTTCTTGTCTGTAGATTGGTTTTATCTAATATCGATGAATCATGTCAATGATTTGAAACAAATTTTTTACTAATTAAGAAGTATCATCTTCAGTCCGATTTGCCTAGTGTCCCTGTAAAGTTCTATAACACGAACTATGTATATGAAACATGTTTCCGAATGATTTTCTAACTATTAATTTTCTATTCACTTTGTATTCATTTTCTACTGAACAAATTAAATGGTTCACCTAAACTGAAGAACCCAACAGAGATCAATGGAGAATGTGTAATCAATGGTTTCTCCATATTGTAAATGAATAATATGGAACCATCTTTGTTAAAACTTGTTTTTCTTTGAGTCGAAGTTGACATGAAACATGTTAGGAAATATGTTGTAATTTAATAAATATATATTATTTATTAAATTTTAATGAATATGTAATTTTTTCTATTAGCATCATGATTGACACTTCCCCAATATATATCAAACTATTAGATATAAGTATGTGGATTCAACCATTATTAGTCTTGACTGTGTTTTTTTTATATATTTTGTACCAATATTCCTACATGAATACTCTATGCTAAATCTTTTTTCAATTGAAAAATAAATCCATTTTAAATGAAATCTCAAAATACCAAAACAAAAAAAAATAA